CTGATCTCATCCTCAGTGGGCCCTACAAGCGCCGCACTCCCGCTCATAGGCATCACAAGAGGCATGTCATCGCATACCAGAATGAACAGAGGTTGTTACATCACCTGAACCTTCGTGGGAATCATGCCAGAGAGGCGATACCGCGGCTCATACCCACTTATTACTTTAGGGTTCAGCGAGATCTCCCCCGGCGGCGTCCGAACCTGGGCGCACTCCGGATACACTCAAACACAATAAATAATCATAAGGGTAAAGGGGTCAGCGCAGCCAGAGGCTGGCCTGATCAGTGCATAGGGACTAAATCAAGGACTTGGGTCTACGTAAATCTATTCAACTTTTGCTAACTCTCCCTTTTTTTACACAAATATAAATTGGGGGGTATATGGGGTTCTCGGACATCCTACGGCATCGCGGAGATTACGCGCGAGGTAAGCCTAGATGTCAACCTTTTCTTCAATAAAAACCCTTATATGTCGCAGATGGGAAAAACTATGAAAAACCCGTGCGAGGGAAAAGAATGAAAAGGCGGCGAGAACTGAGACGTCATCTAAGACATCCTTATATCGACACAAAAATAGCTTACGCACTTGTGCCTCTTGGTGAGGTTATCAATAATCTCACACACTCATTTATTGTTATATGGAAATTAACTGTAAATATCTACACAGAACCAGAACATCCACTTGGCAGATATGTCCGACATTCGGGGAAGCATACTAAGGGATGGCCTTCTTCAATAAAAACCCTTAAACAACAACTTGTGGAAAAAACATACAAACCACTAATAGGGAGAAGAACGAAGGATGTATTATGGGGACGATCATCACTAGGACTAATAACTTACTTCAGTGAGTCTCTGTGAGTTCATAGAATCTCACATTCTCCCGTTTTTCAGCGTATCAGTGGTCATAATCACGCTACTTTTTGGAGAGTTGATTCTCTCAGGAGCACCAAAAGATAGATCCTCAGAATCTAAATCTTGTAAAGCAAGTGGTAAGTCACCTCGTGGTGATTTACAGAAAACTACAGGTATTAGATCTGATAACTCAGCATTGGTACATGTATTGGCAGTTACACCTTTCTGGAGTATTCGGGTTGGAACTATAAGTTCAGCGGGCTTCAGAGTGTTCACGCCTTCACTTTGATAGTTCTCATTATCAGTGTGATCAGTTAAGCCTTTGAGCTTACTTTTTGTCTTGCGTACCTTGCCATACTTCTCAGTATGGTTAAGTCGCTTGAGGTACTCTTAAGTATCAGTTTTGGATATAGTATTCCAATAATCTTGGGCAATCAAACCTGAAATCTCGGACTCTCGGATCTGCCACGGAGCTCGTGCTGACCTTAGTCCTTGAGGAGGTCTGGCTCAAGTGAGCGTGCGTCTCCTGTGCCTTAGGTTTAGGAGGAGGATTGCTTCTTGGTGCTATTTCTGACAGTGGAGGTGCCTTTGAACTTGTTTCTCTGGACGTTCTTGGGGTGGCATATGCTGGGAGGGGTTCATTACTCGTAGCGGTAGTTGTGTGAACGGCAATAGGTACACCAAGCCCTTTGTTGTCTTTTTCTTGGTCAGTGAGCCTGGACTGTTCTTCCTTGATGCTGTCGAGTTCCATGGGCGTGGGTCTGTCTGAATAGTGGTTTCAATCTTTCCTGCTATCTTCCGGATGGTTACAAAATGAATGGTCTTTTCCCCTGTACCGGTTCGTGTTTTTGTTGACTTTGTTGAAGAGTTCCGCTTGTATTGACCCTCTCTCCAGTGAAAGTTGTCTAGGCGTTCTGAGGTTCTTTGGAACGTCTGTGCGTCGCCCTGGATCTGGAACAAGTCCTTACTGGAGCGAAGGAAAGCTTTGAGACCTTGCATGTGATGATTCTCAAGTTCTGGGACTTACCACTTTAGTCCTTGATATTGCTCCCGTCATCTGAACAGAAGCATCCGCCCTTTATAGCTCAGCTGGAAGAGCATCTGACTGTAACGTGCATGGTAACATCATGCCACCGCCATCAGGAGGTCTCCGGTTCGACCCCGGATGAAGGGATTATGTGTAGAAGCAGCCAATTTTTTTTGTCTAACTTAAGCACAACGAAATGTTTGGAAACGTCGGCTTTGACCACATAACCTCCCTCCCACCCGTGTCTCTTGCTACTGCTGGGGCCAGTTTTGAGCGTGCTGAGCACGCAGCTGACCCTTTGACCCTTTGGAATACTTTTACCCTATTTTTGACCTTTCCATGTTGCCCTACACTCCTTTCTTCCTTCTCAGTCCCTTCTCCGCTGATAGGTATAAGTCTGGCGTATACAACTCAATGCGTTAGCCTTCAACTGGTCCGCCTTCTCCCATATGGTTGGGACCAAGCCCAAAAGAATTGCCAGCTCTCGCCAAGCCCCAAGCATCAGAATACTGACGTGAGTCAAACGAACCGTCCCCAACTGATCTGGTACATCCTGTATCTACATGAGTCACCAATAACTTCAGGTCGAAAATCGAGACCTGTGAAACAAGCTAGCCCAGAATGAGGGAAGATTGATATTGATCTAGTTAAAGTGGGCCAACAAATGCCTGGATTGCTTTCTTGGAGGCAAGATATAACGGCCAATCAACTGAAAGTAACGCAGGCAAAGCGAGCCTGAATCTTCGAGGAAGGTAATCCGAGTAGCATGTCGGATATAGACGAAGGAGAACTTGTCGTCAGCAGCCGGAGCGGCAGAACTGAGAGAGCAGAAAGATACTTCAAAAAAGGAGCCGCAATCTCTACCTGTAACGACGAAGGCAACCTGCCGGAAAGGCGGAAACGTAGTCCAGATTTTAAGCCGAGATAGAATAGGGGAGGTGCCACTATCGGTGAAAATAGCCTGAAATGAAGTGCGATCCACCAATATTTAAAGAATGTTGGTGATTTGATAAGGACGCGAAAGTGGCCGTTAAGGCGGCACTGCGTGGTATGATCTTTGATAATATTTGACGAAGCAAAAGGAAATTCATCAACCTGCGATAGAGGCTGGCCGTCAAAGTGTATCCATTTTTAATTGCAAGAACGAGAACTTCAGGTTTATTCGGGTTTCATACTTTTCCAATGCCGTCGGCAAAGGCCAACAT